TGTGCACATCCCCTTTTGTGTCTGTTTTCCTCACTGGAAGTGAGTTCCATGTGGACTGGCACCACGCCATGTTCTTTCCCTGATGAAGCTACAGTGCCTGACACAGAGCAGAGATCTGTGAGTGGACAGGCAGATGGATCAAGAGACAGGCAGAAGGGTTCACAAGCATAACTTTACTTGGGGCAGGCTGGGGTCAGAGGTACAGGCCCTGGATGGTGTCCAAGGAGCGCATCCAGCTGTCTTTCCAGCGCTGAGCTTGCCTCACTTGTGTCACGTTGTCATTGTGGATCTTCTTCAGCTCTTCCTCAAATAGTGCTAAGTATTTCTAAGGAAGAAAGGCATCAGGAGGGACTTGGCAGATGGACTTGTGCTGTCTGCTCCAGGAGCACTGTTGCTAGCTGGCAAGCAGTCTCAGCTGAATGCACTGCAGGACTAGCAAGCATTTCCATGAATTCACCCAACAATCTATTAGGTAGGTGCTTTTGCTTCCTTCATTTTATAGATAGGAAGACTGAGGCTCAGAGCCTTGGCTGGGGTCACTTGGCATGAGAGGGGCTGGACAAGGACTAGGGCCATGTGCTGCAGTAGAGCCTCTTGGAGCTCAGGAATCCTGGCATCCTTCTGAGGCTAAGCCCCTGGCCTCCAGCCCTGGTTGACCTTGGTGAGCAGAGTCCCTCTCTTTGCCTGGAAGCTGGGCAAGTGCCAGCATCAGTTGCTCTCCCAATCCTAGGACCAGCAGATCTGTAGGAACGACAAGACCTTTCTGGGAGCACTAGGACTAATGACTCATGGAGCTTTAGAGCTATAAGGCCCCTTGACTGGGTGGCAACATCTCAGAGTAGAGTCCCTTATCAGGCAGACTCATAGGGGCTTCACAGGCAGCGGGATCAAATCCTGGCTCTGCTACCCTGTCATGGCATAGAAGGACAAGTGTCTTCAGGCAACAGTGTCCTCATCAAAGAAATGGGGACCACCGTTCTACCTCCCCCTAGGAGGATTCGGTGAGGTGCCTCATGTTAAGAACAGAAAATATTAGCAGTGCTTAGGCGGCTAGTGCTCCTGCTAACAATGTCCCCTCAAAGCCACTGCTATCCTCACCTCCGTGCCTGTCCGGCACATTCCTGAGCTTATTCTACTGTCCCTCTGCAAAGATTTTCTTCATCCTACACTGTTAGGTGTCCCTCAGCCGAGCTCCCACTGCGGCAGATTCAAACTTAGACCCCAGCTAGCACTGGTACCAGACACGACACAAGGCCCCTATCTATGAATATCAATTGAGTGTTAAAACCTGTGACTGAGAAGCAGTGACACCTGTTGGTTGTCTGCTCTATAGGATATATATGAGGGTGCTCTATGGTGAGCCGTTCCCTTCCTCCCAAGGCAGCCATGCTGAGCTGCTCTGTGCTTCCCTAGCATATACCCAGTCCACCCAGGCTTACCAGGTACACTGTGTTTCGGGCTTCCACCGCAGCCAGGTGGCCCAGGGTGGTCTTAGAGGTGGTTATTGAGGGTGTCTTCTGAACGAGGATCTTGTTTTGGATGGTGATTTCCGTGGGCTTGATTCCTGGCCACTTCCTACAAACACACGTTTGGCATTATTATTCAAAGCCCAGGGGCCACAACTGGTGCTGATTAAGCTCAACAGTTATCATGGCTTTAAACAGTTTCATAAATAGAAAAGGCCCCAATAAATGTTTAATGTGCCACTTCTTTAGGTTCTGCTTTGTATTTACACACTGCTGTAATGGCTGTGTGTGCAGTCTTGGGTTCTGTGTGGGTAGGTGAGACCCCATTCGTTTTCTGGGCCTGTTTCCTCATCAGTCTGCAAAACAGCCGGCAGTCCTGGTCCATTTCTCTACTGCACTGTCACTGATGGCCACATCGGCGGGCAAGTCACCGCTTTCACATTCTTGGAGCACAGGAGATAGGCAGTATGACAGTTATCACCACATAGGACAGACAGCTGGAGTGGTTCATGATGCCTACAGTGACCAGAGAATATGCCTCTCTTTGGGACAGGTCTCCCTTTCTTTGTGGATTTATAGGATGAGTCCTTATCATGTAAACTTATTGTTCCTGAGCTCTTAGTATGTGCACGATGGGGGGGATGACTCTGTGGACAGCCCCATATAACTTCTTCTTTGTAAAACCATGAGGTGTACTGCCATGTCTACTTCACAGATGAGGAAACTGAGGCTCAGAGCAAAAAGCCTCTCTAAAGTTGTCAGCTCTACCTGAGACCGGAGACTGAAGCCCTCGGTATCCCATGCCCCGTGCCCAGCAGACTCAGCCATCTATTGCTGCTCTGGGCTCTTACCTGCTCCCACGTTCGATCAGAGGCTTCTCAATCTCTTCCTCCAGGGAGAGCCTGGCCAGTCTCTTCCGTATAAGGATTGACATTTTCTGTTTGGAGGGCTCCATCTCTGACAGAGAACAATTGGGTTACTGACTGTGGTCTCAGCCACAGCCTGAGGTCAAGGGATATCCTTGTGTGGTAACATGGTGGTAACAGCGTAGCAGTTCTAGGCAAGGAACCCCAGTGGGCACCGCTGCTGCCAGCTCAGGTGTCTGTTCTCATGCCCAGCCTCTTCATTGAGGGTCTTTGGTGGCAGACAGGACCCCTCCACAGGGAAGCTGATGCACCAGACAGGAAGCTGGGGCAGTGGGCATCACAACAGAAACTTGAGAAGTGGTCTGGGTGGTTCCCAACTCCAAATCCCTGAACTGGGTATTTTGATCTTCCCACAGCTCAAGTGAGCCCCAAATACACTTTGGAGAATCGTCTGTAGCTCATAGGCTTTCTCAGTAAAAGCATCTCTGGACTGTGTGTTGAATGCCTGGCTTGCTGACCCAGCCTAGGATGTGCTTTTGTGATAAGAAGAGGGTATGCTTTTGTAGAGCGAAGACCAACAAGCAATGACCTCCTTGACTGTACCTTTGTTTGCTGTGGATGCTAGAGCCAAGAAGCTCGGCTCAGAAGCCTGAGATTAGGTCAGGCAAAGACTTCCTTGGGTCTGGTGCCAGGGATCCTCCCTGTATAGCAGTTCTAGGCAAGGCACCACGGTGCCAGCTCTGGTGTCTGAGCTCTTAACTACTAGTATCTCTGCTGGTCTGCATTCCCAAAGAGACCTCTGATGATGGGAAGTAGCCAACATCTCAAAAATGTGTATGTGTTTTGACCCAGAAACTGTAAGCTAAGGGCTTATTGCCCCAAAATAATGTTGTACGGATGCAGAGATTTCTTTAGAGCAATTACAGGAGTGAAAAGTTGGAAGTGGCCCAATACATAGCAGTAGGAGATAAGTTGGTAAATGATGATGCTTGGTGAATCTCAGTGCAAGGCAAAAGAAAATGTTCCTAGGATGGCCAGCCCCACATCTAGGCAGGGGCAGGTCACGCGCAGCCTCGGGCCTTGTGCCTGGATCTGTGTCTGCAGCTAGAGAGAGGGGCCACGGCTTCCAAGGCCACTGACTTCTGGGCACAAGGGAGGTGTTCTTTGCTAGCTTCCTAGTTCATACCAAATTTCTTACTTAACCATAAGAAACATTTTTATTGTCTTTTAAATAAAGAACTTTAAAAAATAGAGTAGATTTTGATTATAGATCAGTAATGAATGACATTGAATATATGATTTTAATCTTAGGTTTGTAGAAGTAATACACACATTGTTAACAGTTTAAACATCACTTAATGGTCGTGTGCGTGTGGGTCAGGGGCTTCCCACCATCCCACCCAGCAGTTGGCATCAGCAGCTGTCTCTCAAGCTGTTTCTCACACAGATTCATTTAAACACTTCTGAGTATGTATGCTGATAGTCTATGTTTTTAAAGATGGGATCATAAACATGTCCTCCTTGTCCATGTACCTTTTTACGTACAATCCTTCCTTACATTGTTGCACATCAGCACATACAGACCTGCCACTCCCATTTAGGAGCTGCACAGTATTCACTTAAATATCTGCACTATCTCTTGGCATCCAATCCCTTTTGTATGAACATTGGTGCTGTTTCCAGTTCTTTGCCATCTCTTCTTGTTCTTGTTCTTGTTCTTGTTCTTGTTCTTGTTCTTGTTCTTGTTCTTGTTCTTGTTCTTGTTCTTGTTCTTGTTCTTGTTCTTGTTGTTCTTCCTCCTCCTCCTCCTCCTCCTCCTTCTTCTTCCTCTTCCTCTTCTTCTTCTTGCCCTTCGTCATCCTCCCTCCCCCTCCCCCTCCCTTCTCCTTCTTCTTCTTCCAGAAGCATCAAGTTTGTTTGTTTGCTTATTTATTTATTTATTTATTTTTGGCAGAACTGGGGATTGAACTCAGATCCTTGCACTTGCCAGGGAAGCACTTATTCTACTGAGCCATCTCCCCTGCCCCACATTAAGTTTAATTTAAAGAAAAAAACACTAGACACTGTCAGCAAGAATGACAGAGCAAACCAACTCCTGAAAAAGTCCAGCACCTTGGTGAATACGTGTAGTAGAAAGCTAAAAGAAAAACAAAATTCTACTTAACTTAAAATGTTAAGGTTTTTGCAAAGCAGCTCATTTCATTGGTGAATAAAACCCCTGGCTATCCCCAGGTATCAATGTGTGTGCAACTTTGTCCCCTGAATGTCTGGTGCAGTGAAAAAGCCCAGTGTTGCCACACAGAACAAATTCTCCATTTCAGTCAGCCTTTAGCAGAGGGCCAATAAGCACAACACTGTCTCCTTGGACGAAGAGCATTGGGCTATTTCATTTCATTGATTTGTGTATCTCCTCAGGTCTCTTCATCAATTTCTACAGTGGCCACAGTTCCTTCCACATCTCCCAATGTCATGTTTAAATGCTGATCATAAGCATGCAATCTGCCTTGAAGCTCTCGGTCATTCTTCATTTTCGCATAGATTCACTCATCTAGGCTGAGTCTGATGAGATCCAGTGGCTCCTCTACAGTGCTGCTGGTGTGTTGCTGGTCCACATCATCCACTGTCTTTCCTCCAGCTCTTTGCCATTTCAAACAGTGCTGCAACAAATATTCTTGAATGTACATCCTGGAGAGAATGTGCAAGGATTTCCTCTGTATACATTCTTAGAATTAGAATGAGAACTGCTAGGTCAAAGGCATACAGTTTGTGTGTGTGTGTGTGTGTGTGTGTGTGTGTGTGTGTGTTACTGGGGCTTAAACCCAGGTCTTCACATTAAGCTTCACACCCCTAGCCCCTTTTTATTTTTTGAGACAGATTCTTACTAAGTCACTAAATAGTTCAGGCTTGGCTAGAACTGATAATCCTCCTATCTCACCCTCCCATAGCACCGAGATTGCAAGCATGCTGGCCTCATGCAGAATTTTCATGAGGCCTGACAAAGGATTCTCTAAGAAAGTGCTTATCAGGATATGGTCCCACAAGACACCTGCTAAGGACCCCTAGTGGCCTCTGTTTCCTACATGGCTGGTTTCCCCCAAAGGTAAACCCTCAGCAGTCTATCTATGAGAAACAATATCTCACCAGGTTTCCCTTCACATTTTCATTGTCAGTGAGGTGCAGCATCTTTCATCACTGGCCACAGAACTGCTTCTCTTTTGAAGTACATGTCTCCTTTATTTCTTGTCTCCTAAAACTTGTGACTGGTGAGAGTTCTTTGTACCACAGAAAGAGAAACCCTTTCTCTGGTTCACAGGTTGTGAGGAATGTTTCCAATTTGTGGTTCACGTTTTCATATTTGACATTTTTCTGTTTTTGTTTTGGCCTTAGAGAGTGTAAGCCATTTCTTTCATGCTTCCTGGTTCTCATGCCATACTTAGAAATGCTTGCCCTAACCCCAGGCTTATGAAAATGTTTACCGTTAGGATTTAATTTATTTACATATAATCTTTGATCCCGCTAGCATTTTCCTTTTTAATAAAAAATTATTCTTTTTAAATGTGTTTGGTATAGGATCTCACTACACAGCTTGGGCTTGCAGTGATCCTCCTGTTTTCAGCCTCCCCAGTGCTGGGATTACAGGTATGTGCCACCACACCCAGTCTTGATGTGCCCCTCAGGGTGCTCAGGGGCTGGGCAAGTGCAGCATTTGATGCTGGGGATCAAACCCTGGTCCCTGTGCTTGCCTAAGTAGGTGCCTAGTCTGCTGAGCTATCTTGCTGGTCCCTGAGACATTATTCTTAATAAAAATAAAATCAATCTTCTCAATAGAGAACTTGTTTCTACCTTGGTGGAGTTGGAGAAAGGAAGATATTTCTTACCCCCACTAGCCAATTCTCCTAACCCCCTGGGGTGAGAGGATAGTCCCGCTGTGCTTACTTGCAACCTGGATGTCATCCACAGTAATCACTTCATCCAGCTGCAACAGAAGCTTCTCGGTGAAAGTGGCTAAGCTGGTGATGAAAAAGTGGCTGTACTTCCTGGCAAATTCCTGGAGGAAAGGGTCAAGTGCAGAGTTGGGGAGAGAACTTCTCTCCAAGGCCAGATGAGGGGACAGCAAGGTTTGCACTGTAGTGAGGATGTGGGGTGCCTGCTAGAGAACTAAGCCCAAAGCATGGTACTATTTGCCTCAGAGCTAACCAGCAACTGATCCTCACTGTGAGGAGCCTCTCCCAAGAAGTGATTCAGAAATGGACTACAGACATACAGATGTTTCACTGCAGAGGACATAAATTAGATGGAAACATGCAAAAAAATTCAATTACTAATTTCGTTAACAATTTAGAAATCAAAAAAATGTAGAGTAAAACACCCAATTACAACCATTTTACCTACAAATCTCATCCACTTTCATTTCTGCTTTGGACCAGGTGCCAACCAAGGGCCATGCTTTGCCAGTGGCTTTGCATCAAAGCCATCTTTCTGTAGGGTAGTGTGGCCATTAGCACCCAGACTGGGAGTCTACAACACCACTGACCTCTAGTCTTTCCTTGGTCGTCTTGATAGCATTGTTCAGCTCTTTTTGTCTCTTCTTTTCTGAATCATGTAGAGACTTCATTTGCTGGAGATTCTTGGGATGGCCAAGATTTGGCTGGAGCTTCTGGGCATTTTGATCCTTCAATTAAACAATTGATGTTTTGTGTTATGGTTTGTGTCTAGTTGTCCCTGCAAAACCTCATGCAGTCATAGGGAGGCTTCTAGAGCTTGTGACCAATTCATGATCTAATGCTGGTATTATGGATGTGAGTGCTACACCCACCCTGGGGAAGATGGTCTGAATTGAATGTAAGGAGGATAAAGAGGTTTCCTAGCTACTGCAGCTGTGGCTCCTCTGTTTGTTATTTGCTGTTTTCTGCTACCATGAACTGCTGCCTTTTGCTATGTGCCACACTGTCTTGGAGCCAGCCATGTATGCACTCAAATCTCCACTAACTGTGAGCTACATAAACCTTTCCTTCTTAATTTTGAGTGTTGTGTATTTTCTTACAGAAATGAAAAAAAAAAAGCAACTGAGACAGAATTTGGTACCAAGAGTGGGGTCACTGCTGTGACTAAACCTGACCATGTGGATTACAAGCCTTTGGAAATGGCTTATGGGAAGACACAGAAAGGGTTTGGAGACATTGCCTACAGAAGAAGTGTTGAAATACTTTGGCTGTTCTGCGTGGAAGATTCTGGTCAGAGCTCAGAAGACCAGAAGGCTGATAGAAATTCTGCTTGTAAAGACCGGGCTGGGGAAGTTTCTGATGGGAAGAAGGACTGCATTGGTTGTTAGAATCAGGACAATGTGTGATATAACTTAGCAGAAAGTTTGTCTGCATTTTGCTTGTGTCCAGAGACTTTACCTGAAACTGAGATTAAGCATAAAAGACTGATTAATCTTGCAAAAGAAATCTCAAGGCATTCAAATGTTGAGGCAGTGGCAAGGATGTTTTGGGGGGCTTTTGGTCAGATTTATGTTGAGAATCAAGAGCAACAGCCCAGCAGGATGATTTGAAATGTTATGAGTTTGGCTAGAAAGAAAGTACCAATAAAACTGTGGACTGTAAAGATAAAGCTCAGAGGATCTCCATTGTCCAGATGAAACAAGAGAATAGGAAAGACAGCCTGAGGCATCACAAAGAGCAGTAAGTCTCCACCATTTGAAACCTCAAAACTGCAAATGTGAAAGACTTTGCTTTGAGGAAAAAGCTACAAAGTCCTATGTTCCAGAATGGTGGCTGTGGCCACATCAGGTTCCATAATGGTGGTAGAATAGAGAATTTGTTTCCAGGAATGAGGGTCAGAGTGTTCATCAATCCAGGCACTTGACCCCTACAGCCAAGAGAGAAGAAAGCCTCATTACTGCTCTAGCTGGCAGCAGATCTTGGCATCATCCAAGTGACATTGATTTTAGGTGCATGCAGAATACAGGAATTCTGAGGTTAAGAAGACTTCCACCTCAATTTCAGGAGGCCTGGGAGGTCAGGTAGTGTGCCCTTGGGAGGGCAGTGTGTGAAGCAGAGAGTGAAAAGCCTAACATGCAGCAGGTTCCCAGCAGTTTGGAAAATCCAGGAACGTAGATCATCTGAAAACAAACAAACAAACAAACAAACAAACAAACCAAAAAACAACTGCAAGCAGGGGGCAAAGCAGGCCTGAGAGAGAAGCCATGGTAGCTACCACCAAAACATGCTTTAGAGGTGGAGCCACATAGAGCTCATACACAGGTTGCTTTGGATGTTCCACAGGGAACTATAGGACTTAATGTTTGCCCTTCTGGATTTTGGACTTGTTTTGGTACCAATGCTTTGTGTCCTGCTGTTTGTACCTTTTGTAATTTTTTTTGTGTGTGTGCCACTGAATGTTGTAAGTGTTTAACTTTTCATTTGTACAGGGGCTCAGAACTAAGAGTTTGCCTTAGATCACAGAGGAGACCTCAGAATTGGACTTTTAAGAAATACTGAAACTGTTAGGACTTTGGCAACTCTTAGAGATGGACTAAAATGTCTTTTGCATAAAGGGCTGTGCATGAGTCTTTGGGAGTCAGGGGCAGAATGTTATGGTTTATGTCTAGTTGTCCTCCCAAGTCCTCATGCAGTCATGGGGAGGCTTCTAAGGTTTGTGATTTATTCATGATCTAATGCTGGGTTTATGAGTGTGAGTGCTACACCCACGCTGGAGAAGATAGTCTGAATACAATATAGGGAGTGGAGAGAGGTTTGCTAGCAGCCATGGCTCTTCCTTTGCTCTTTGCTGTTTTCTGCTGCCTTAACTGCTGCCTTCTGCCCTGTGCCAGTTTGCCTCGCAGCCAGCTGAGTATAGACTAAAATCTCCACTAACTATAAGCTAAATATTTTTTTATTTTCTCCTAGCAATAAGAGAAAAGTAACTGAAACAAACAGGGATTTTGACCCAGACTTGAGGTTAGCATCAAAATGTCCCCAGCCTATATATTGTGTCAGTCAAAGCTGTGGTCAGACAAAGGTGTCCTATGACCTGGGTTATGTGAGAGGCCATGGGTGGGGAGAAGAATAAGTGGAAGAGAGGACAAGATGGAGGCATAGCTACATGGAGAGGACAAGTGGAGGCATAGCTACATGGAGAGGACAAGTGGAGGCATAGCTAGATGAGAGGACAAGTGGAGGCATAGCTAGATGAGAGGACAAGTGGAGGCATAGCTAGATGAGAGGACAAGTGGAGGCATAGCTAGATGAGAGAATAAGTGAAGGCATAGCTAGATGGGAGGACAAGTGGAGGCATAGCTACAACTAACTCTGAGGTTTGCAGAGAGGATGATCCGGACATCTTCTCCAGCACAATAGGGGCTTTTGTCCAATCACTCATGTCCCATGACTCCAAGGACCAGTGTAAACAGTCATTGCTAATTGCAATTACCACGACTTCACCAGACCCAGTTGACCTTCCCATTGAATCCAACAGAGTTTACTGAACATCTGTCTTGAGAAGTTAATTCAGTTCTGATTTCACCAATGCCTCCTGTCTCTGAGCCCCCATCCTATAATCCCAAGGCCGATCATTCCTTCTCTTGGACTTGGCTGCCCATTCTGAACTCCCAGCAACCCCAAGTCCTGGAGTGGAACTGGCTGGTCCTGGGTGCCTCACCTTCCTTCTCTCTAGCTGCTTTTCCTGCTTCTCAAACTCTTTCCGGATGTCTGTCATGGTGGTGCAAAACTTTTTCCAGTGCTTCTCCTTGAAATTCTCTGTTACCAGCCAACACACCTGGGGCAGCAGCTCCTCAAATCTCTTCATCTGGACTCGTAATTCTGTAGGAGACACAAGAAAGGACAGAGTGAAACCAAGTTGCTGAACTGATCTTTCAAACAAAGGCCCTTAGTAGTTTCTCAAAGAGAAAATTTTGGTCTCCCACACAGTGATAGGGATTCCATCAAAAGAGTCCTATAGTCAATATAGAAAATATTGATTGCACAAGTTCAAAGGGTTTTGCCTCTGTGCACTCTGCTGATTTCTCAACTCATTCAAAAGGCACCATGTTTTCAATAGTTCTGGCAATTTCTCTATCACCCCTTCAAATATGGCCGTGGTCTCCTCTCCTCTCTTTCTCCTTCTGTGTGTCTAATAGCCATATGATATACCTACTCTTTCATTCACACTTTTTTACTTCTCTCCTATATTTTAATCTCGTTGTCTTTCTGTGCTTCATTCTAAATATTTTCTTTGGATTTAGCCTTCCAGCTCACCAATTTCACCTTCAGCTGTGGATAACTTCATAATAAAGCCATTCATAGCTTTAAATTTTCAAGTTTTAAGTTTTCCTTTTTTAAAAGTTCTATTTGATTCTCTTTTGTATTTACTTTGTCATTGTAATAATCTCTTGCTCCTCACACTTCCAATTCCCTATTTTATTTAACTGTTATAATAACTATATTCACTATTTTACATTGTGTTTGATAATTTTAACATCTGTGTCTCTTGCTCAAGGTGCTTTGTTTCCTTGTGTTTGCATGGGTTTTGTTATTATTTGTCCATTACAGTGAGCTCTGATTCTGTGAATTTTGTTTATGGGAATAGACTGAGGTCTAAGTTGAAGGTGGGTCTTAAAGAGAAAAATTTTGAGGAGTCTTTAACAGCAAGTTTTGGATGTCATCAACTCAATATTGTTTAGACTAAAGTATCTGTATGAGATCATTTAGATAATCCACAAAAATTGAATTCATATTTAAGTAAGTGTGAACCCAGGTTCAGAAGCAACATAAGCGATGACTCATAGTTCTGGATTGCAATTGGAATCCCCTGTCCCCTTACCTAACACCAAGTTTGTTTTTTTTTTTTGAAGATAGTTTCCTTATTGTTAAAAGGAGCTTGGTTTGTATGCCCTTCCCTTTACTTTGTGGTGGGAGCTCTGTGACTTTACGTGGAACTTTCCACCTTGAGTAGAGTTAGCAAATGCATTTAGGGCAGTAACCAATTTATCATTCAGCAGCCCTACATTCACTCAGCTTTTGGTTTTTGTGTATTTTCTATTTTACAAGTAGCTTGTCTGTGCATTTTAAAATTATTATTCTCCAAATATTTTCCCAACATTTTACATATTGTCAGTAGTGACAAACTAATGATATGCAAGTCTTCTCTCATGAAAGATTATCAATCTGCTGGGGGAGAGAGAGAGAGAGAGAGAGAGAGAGAGAGAGAGAGAGAGAGAGAGAGAGAGATCATCTGTAGCATTTTCTAAACCCATTTGACAATGAGACCTTTGTTTTGAGGGCAGTCATGTAGGAAGGACAGGATTTCTCAGAGTTCACTTGGGGAAAGACTGAGCTAGAGATAAACTCTGTAGCTTCCACTCCAGCCACTCTCCAGCCACAGTCCTGAGAGCTGCTGCTGATCATGCATTCCCTGTGCAGGCACGTCCGTGCAAAGGATTAATCCTCGTCAAAGCTTTCCGTGGTGGATGCTGTTACTATCTCTCATTTGTAGACAAGGAAATGGGGCCTCAGGGGGTGAGATGACATGGCAGAGTCATACTTTCAGCTCCATGTCTGACTCCCCTCCGTCCCTCCCTCCTTTTCCCCAGGCTGCCTCTGAAATGACAGAACAGAGCACAACAGTGTAGTGTGTCAGCACTATGGAATATTATTTTGGAAGGACATACGGACACAACCTAGAACACACATAAACCTGAAAACATCAGGCAATGTCTGAAAATGTCTCAATAAATCCATTATTTTGTACAGTTAATATGTGCTAATACAAAATGAAATGGTTCTGGGTAAATTGATCTCAGATGGACATAACCTGTAGAGCTATATTTGCTTAACAGGACTTTGTCATCTGGTTTTACTGTCCCCAACTGAAGCTTGAATGAAAAACTTACAAATGTTTACATGCTAAATAAAATGAATAGAAAAGACAAAGAAACAATTTCTTTTTCTTTGGTTGGTTGGCTTAGTTGAACTCAGGACCTCATGCTTGCCAGGCAGGGGCTCTGCCACTGAGCTATATCCTCGGCCCTAAAGAAATACTTTGAAAGGCCACTTGCTATGGTTTGGCTGAGTGTCCCCCAAAGGTCATGTATTGAAGGCCTCGTCTCCAGCTTGCGGCACTGCTAGGATGTAATGGAGACTCTAAGTGGTGAGCCTCTTAAGGTGGAAGGAAGCCAGTCATTGGCTTGTGATCTTCAAAGGGATCTTGGGCTTCTGGCTCCTTCTTTTCTTTCTCTTTGTTCCCTGGCCACCGTGAGATGGACAGCTTTCTCTGCCAGCTGTTCCCATCGGGATGTTTGCCTCCCCAGGCCGAAAAACAATGGACAGAAACCCCTAAACCCATAAGTCATACTAAGCCTTTTCTCTTTGAAGAAAAATTATACAGAATTTTAGGAAGCCAGTCACAAAAGGCCATACAAGCCCATTCACCTGATAGTACAGAAAGAGGAAAAGGACAGAAGCATTAAGTGGATTGTTAGCATTAGGGCTGAGAGGGGCTGAGGCGATGAAGCTGTGAAGACCCGACAGTGGTGATGACAGCAACACTGTGAATAGACTAAAAATGCTAACTGGGGTGTTACACAGGGGAGCTGTATGACTAGAAAATATTTCCACAGAACTGTAAAAAATAACTACGGAAGGAATGTGGTACAAAACGCCACACTTCTCAAGGTAAATAAACATCTTTTTGCACTGTTTTTCTTGTTATCTCTAACCGCTGCTTTCATCTACTTCTAAGAGATCATTTATTCACAAGGCAGCTCCTGTGCCTCTCAGTGACCTCAACTGACAAGGAGTCAAGGCCAAGCGCCATCTCTGGGTTTGTGTTTCCCTGGGCCCACCTACCAGCCTGCCAAGCTCACATACCCATGAGGCAGGAGTTGTGGTACTCATCCGTCCGGCTCTGGTACTCCAGGATCTTCTTACTGATGTGGTCAGTACACTGGTCCAGATTCTCATACATGCAGTCAGGCCTGGTGACTGGGTGCTTCTCTTTGCGGTAGAATTCCTGCCGTGAGGAGTGACTGTGCTTGGGTGAGGGCCCTCCCTATGGGACTCCACCCATGGCTCCTGGATCCACCCACCCACTTTCATCTTCACATCTTCTAGTCTTTGCTCATGTTCCCCCTCTGGTCTTGCCACCTACTGTTTCTAGACAGGGCCCACCTAGTCTCACTTAGGGCCATGGGGAGTCTTCATTATGTGTCCAGTGAGTGAGCGAATGGTGAATCCTATTGATCCTCCAGATCCAAATCAATGGAATCTCAAACTGTGATCAGGTTGGGAGCCTACTAGGACACCATGGGCCACAGAGATGGCCATGGGTGCCAAGCTCTATGGACGGTAGCAGGAGGCACAAGCACTGGGTATGGTATGCTGGAGTGTGGTGCCAGCCAGGGGACACTTCCACAACCCCACCTAGTCTCTGTGTTCCTACCGCGACCATTGGTCTCCTGCTGGGTTCTGGGCACCTCAGGGACAGAGGCCAAGCTCGTACCTCTTGGCACACCAAATACTTGATATGCAAATGATGTCCAAGCTATGTTTGGGGCCTGCCTAAACACAAACACTGGATGAATGAAGATAGTTCTCTAGGAAGGGAAAAAGCACAGAAGGTGACAGAAGCTGGTGAGGTCAGGAAGAAGCTGAAATCATTTATTGTCATTTACTAGCACAGAGCCATGATCAACAGACTGCTGAGGGCAGAGGTGGCTGGGGTGTGCTCAGTGTGGGCTCGGGCCTGCGGCAGTGGTTCTTACCTCTGCAACGGACAGCAGGTGCTCATTGCTTTCCCAAAGGAGGGCCAGGATGATCCCTTTAAAGTCTCTGCAACACAGAGGCAGCAGATCGCTGATGGGCCTTGTCTAAATCCGTGAACATGAACACGGCCAAACCTAACTTCCTAAGCACTGTTTGGCTCCTAGCATCCTTCCTAGTGATGTATTCCTGCCCCAGGCCTGTGCACACTGACTTCTCTCCAGAATGAAGCTTCAGACTTTCTTCTTGGCATGTCTGATCCCAGCTCAGTGCTTATTCCTGCCTGCCTAATAGTTCCAGAATGCTCTGCAGCCCTACAGCCTACTACGCAGTTTTGAGATTAATTTTTTAATCATGGGGGCCGGGGAGATAGCTCAGTAGAATAAGCACTTGCCTGGCAAGCACAGGGTCCTGAGTTCAACCCCCAGTACTGTAAAAAAAAATAATCATGATCATCCTCCATCTCTTTTGGCTGATTGTAAACTCCACTGGGAGTTTAAAATATGAACTGAGAATCTTTAGGCTATAACAACTCTGCTATCCTGGGTTCCCACATAAGCAAAAAGGAAGCAAACTGAGACAGCATGTTAAGGTCTAGGAAAATAAGACTTAAACCAGCTGATCAGAAATAACTGATTGACACCCGGCCAGAGACTTTCCATTTTAGCTAACCCAAGTTTTTCTTTGTGTTGTTTTGGCAAACTCCTTGTAAAAGTTTTTTCTTGGTGTTACTTCCATGGCAGAGGCCTAAACCACTCAGCCCCTGATGCTGACGCTTTCATGAACTTCTGTCTGCTCAAACTCGTTAACACTTTAGTGTGTCTGAATTTATTTTCTAACACAGGGTGTCGGAGCCCAGTTTGGGACCCATGAGAACTCACTGGTTCTTCTCTACAACTACAAGAGGGGGCTTCTCTCTTACACACTATGCAGGTGGAAAGATTGAGGCTTGGGGAGAAATCATGTGCCTAAGGTTCCTGTATAGTGATATCAGTAGGATTAGTCTGATCCTTTTTTTCTGAGCAATCAGCCACTATGTCAGGATAATTTTACCTTTTTCAGAGATTTAATAAATGCTTGATTAATTTTATTAGCCTATGATATTTTTTATTTTTATTTTTATCATTTATATATTTGGTACAGGATCTCATTATGCAGCTTGGACTCATAGTGATCCTCCTGTTTTCAACCTCCCAAGTGCTAGGATTACAGGCATGTGCCACTACCTCCAGACTTGGTTGCTGGCTCAGCATGCCCTGGTCCCTGTGCTTGCCAAAGCAGGCACTTAGTCCGCGGAGCTATCTTGCTGGCCCTATGATTTTTTTTTAAATCACTAAAAGACTGGCATATTTCTATTATGAAATCTATTTGGTCATATAAAGGGATACATTATTGATATATGTGACAATTTGGATGATGTATGTGACAACTGTGGTTTAAATGTGTCCTCGAAGTTCATATGTTAGAAACTTGATCCCCAATGCAAAGTACAGAAAGGCAGAACTTTAAGAGAAGTGGGTTCAGCTTTTTCTTTCTCTCTCCCCCTCACTCCCATGACCTCACCTTTCTCTCCTACTCTTCTCTGCGACCTTTCACCCCTCCTCATGGGATGATGCTCCAAGAAGGTCCTGGTGATGCTGGTGCCTTCACCTTATACTTCTCAGTTTCCAGCACTATAAAGTACATCTTTGCTATTTGTAAATTTTGCAGTCTCAGGTATTCAGATATAGCAGCACAGGTGGACTAAGACAGGTCTCAGGGTCACTATGCTGAGTACAAAAAGGCACTCTGAATAAAGGTTGATTGCTCCATGAAGCCATTTGTATGATATTCTCCCAGTGACAAAATTATAGGGATGGACAGAAGAATCCTGGCTGCATAGGGTTGGGGGTGGCATATGAATGAGTACCAAGAAGATCTGTGTGGGGATGGAGTACTTCTGTATCTTGGCTGTGGAGGCAATGTCAGGAGCCTGCACAGGCTACAGTGACACAGAACCGCAGAGAATAGGGAGTCAGCGGCTTCGTGGTGCAGTGTCTTCGGTGTGTGGGCTGAAGCTGCGTCTAGCTGATGACTTGCAGGCAGGCAGCTCCTGGGTTGCCTGGTGGAAGAGCTGAGCACAGAAGGGCATGGTTCCCAGCTCCAGAGATCAGACGGGGCAAAAGGGCTGACAAGAGGAGGTGCTACATGTGGGGTCCTCGCTTAGGCAAAATGGGAACTCCACTGTGGAGCTTGAATTTCTCCGAGGCTTTAATTTTCTGAACTTGACCTTTTACGAGTTTGTTTGAAATGAAGTTATAGCAGGCCGGCCAGGCTTCGTTTTAATCATTCAGAAATGATAATAAAGGAAAATGAGGGTGAAGAGGGAAGCACTGAAAAAGCTGCCCCTAAACTGCGAACTTCAGAGTTTGCTCTCCTGCCACCAATGCTAGAAAAATATGAAATTTTGGTGAAATTTCTCTTGTCTCACTTACATGGAATGGGCCACGACAAACTGACCTTGACCTTACCTGTCCCCTCCCTGCCCTTTTCCTTATTGATCTCCCTATCTCCTTTCCCTTTCCTGCTTTTCCTCTCAGCAGAGCCAGATTTCCCCCACTGACTGCACCAGACTGAAACAATGCAGTTAAAGGGAGCTCAGTCATCACTTACTCAGAAAGAGGAGGTGACTTTTCTCCAAGCAGGAGGTACCTTCTTTCCATCTTGGTGAGCTTGGGATGCCGTGTGATGCTGTGGGACAAAGATGTGTCAGTGTTCTGCAGGCTCAGGAGAGAGGAAAGACAGGTCCATGCCTATGAGAGCCCAGCCTGGAAAGGCAGAGGATGCGTCCTGCCTTCTCAGTAGCCCTGAAGACAACAGACTTGTCATCTTGTCTTGGGGTGAAGCCTTTGCTGCTAATGTCTGACCAAGGCCACTGAGAGAGGACAAAAGGCAGAGTTCAGGCCTAAAAATGTGTACACTTCCTTTCCTGTGGTGAGGACCCAAAGAAAATCAAATTGAGCCACAGGCAATATCACCAGGGTTAGAAAATAAAGACCTGGTATGCCATTTAAACCTGAATTTCATGAGTAATGAATAATTTTTAGTATTAACTATATCCTATGCAATATTTGGGATATACTTATATTAATAAATTAAGTGTCATGATGTAAATTGAGTTGGGTACCTGTGGCAGCCCTAGTGACATAGATCAAGACAGTCACCTAGAGGTTGAACACAGAAATGAACAATGCTGCATCACCTATGAACAAACAACTGACTCACTGCCTGCAGCACCCTGTTCAGGACCCCGGCCCCCTTGCTATGATAAGCAGCCTGAAGCCAGCCTGCTGGGAGTCAGGTTTACATCCAGTAAGTCAGATTGTTATTGCTCATGACAGGCCAGGAAGCTAACCAGTAGCTGCTATAACAATTGCTAGGACTTGAGAGTAAATGACAACTTTCCTAATATAGGCCCCTCTTCCTAACTTAGGATCAACCAAAACAAACCAGATAGGCACCCTAACCAACCCCACAGGGCATGTTCCCATCAGCTCTCCCTGTCCACTGCAATCCTGTTCCACTGTCTTCCCTTGAATCCACCACGGGGGCAGCCTACTCCAACTTCGGTGGTGGCCAGCTGCCTGCTGTTGTCAATAGTCTCTGCTTCACTCATTCAGTTGCTTTGTTCCTCTTGATATTGCACATAAAACTCAAGTTCAAAAAGACTGTTAGCTGGTAAAGGGAGAGCAAGTCTCATTTTACTTTCTCAAAAGCAGGTATTTAGAAAGTTGTGCAGTCATATGGCTGCTGTTATCCGGAAAGCCTTAGTGTGGGGCTGATAATCAGAGTCTCCGGTCTAATGACCCATGCTAGGCTCAGTGGACAGAGCAAATGACCAGAGTACCAAAGCCCAGGACTCCTGTACCTCTGTGATATTGCTCCAGGAACATCAGCTCTGTGATGCCAACTGTCCCCCTTTCTAACCATGAGCACCCACAGAGGTTGGTGGCAGGACCACAGTCCACCTGCCCTGTCCTGAATGCTTACCTACCTGTCAGGGCTTCACTCAGGTGGAAGATATGTGTGGGTTACAACCTTCCTGAGGATGAGAACAAACATGACCAAAGCCGTTACCCTATCTTATCAGCCTCTCTGGCACTGGATGCTAATGGAGTCCCAGAGCACAAGCACAGGTGGGGAATTCTGAGGTCAGAGTCATCTCTGACCCTTGTCTGGGGGGACAGGCCTGGGGTCTGGGACGATTTCTACCTTGCTGCTGAGGTAGAACTGGTACTCTGCAAGGCCTTCTTCATCGAGCTTTCTGCCCGGCAGCGTCGCTTTGAGACTTTGGATGACGAGCACCCAGGATGAGATCAGAAGATGGGAGGTGAGAGTGGTCCACAGATACTACCAGCTTCACCACTACCAGCTGCTCCACAGCCCACAAGTCTGCCTGCCCCTACTTGACTGACCTTTATTACAATGGTGAAGTGATCTTGTGTTGGGAAATCTAAAACAGAAGAAAAAGGTGTGAGACTTTCTTCAGTCACCATGAGTGATCACAAGCACAGGTTAGGCTGGCCCAGGAAGCCATACAGTTAGTCTTTGATACCATCTGCATAGGTCCTGTCATGAGTTCAGGTGTTCAGACGGGGCACTAAGGCTCTGAGAGGAGTAGGCCCTTATCCCAGGTCACAGTCTCTCAGACTGAGCTTCCCTGGGAGCCCCCGTATGCAGGATCCTCCGTGAGAGCACTCACTGCAGGATCATCTTGACCACCTCCACAGCAGGGTCTTCAATCATCAGCCTCCCCATGCGGCTTGGCTGTGCAAAGGACTCAGGGTTGACAAGGGCCAGCTTGTCCTCCTCCTCGAGGGTCTCTGAAGACATCTGATTGTCACTCTCTATCTCAGCATCACTCAAGGCAGTGTCCTGCAGGCCAGAGAGAAGGGCCAAGTGTGTGCAGCCTGGTGCCAGGGAAGCAGCAAGCTGGTTCACACTCCACCACCAACCTGCCCAAGTAGTGGTTGGTGGTGAGCAGCCTGGCCTTTTGGAGCTTCTGTTTTCTCTGTTAGAGCTATTCATTCACTCATTCATGTCTTTCCTCATTTAGAAACATTCATGTCTTTCCTCAGTGCCTGCTCTCCACAAGGGTCTGCCTGTGTCTTTTTGTGTGTGTGGCTGGCTCAGACTACCTTTGGGGCAGGGCTGGTGTGGCATGTGGTGCTGGGCATTGAACTAGGGTCCCTGTGCTTGCCTAACTTTGCCTAAGCAGGTACTTTAGACCACTGATCTATCTCTCCGGCCCTGCCTATGTCTTAAGAGACATAGAAGTGGAGAGTCCACACGAGGTCCCAGTCTTCATGAAGCCTGCAACCTATGCAGAAGAGACATGTATGCACTGTTATGGCTGATACATTGTGTCAACTTGGGAAGTTGAGAAACTTAATTAACTCAGCAGTTTTATAGTCTAGAGTATAGAGGACACGCCCTAGGGTGGCTATTCATACTCTAGAATGTTGTAATGGTTAATTCATTGTGTCAACTTGAGAAGTTTAAAAGTTTACTTAAGTGACTTTCAGGGCCCAGGGTCCTCCAAATGTAAACATTCTGAGTCTATACAAGAGGAGTACATGGAGGTGGTGTGAGCTGTGAGTGCTACACTCACCCGATGGCAGGTAGCCTGCATTTTTCATAAGAGAAGGAATGATCTCTCCCCTTTTTTACTGTTCTTGCTTTTGCGCTCTTCTGCTGCCAGAAACTGTTGCTCCTCAGCCACGCTACCTTCCTTGGAGCCAGCTGATTATGGACCAAAACCTTCACAAACTGTGAGCCAAATAAACTTTAACTTTGGGCATCAGATACTTTATCTCAGTAATGAGAGAAATGTAATCAAGATGTGCACATTTGTGCAAATAAATGCTCAGTCAAAATTGAGACTGTGCTGTGAAAGAAAAGTTCTAGTGTCTGTGAGATTGAAGTGAGACCTGCAGGGCTGGCTTCAGAGGCACCTGGGTGGTGTTTCTGGCCAAATGGATGAGGGTTGAAGACTAAGAAAGTGACCAACAGACCTTAGTGAAAGCGAGCCCACGTACTTCAGCTGGTCCCTATTCTATTCTGAGTCTTGATGCTGCTAGTCCTTTCAAGGAAGAGCGGAGGTTGGACCACAGGAGCCTCTGTCGCTCCGGGTGAAGTACCAGAGGCAGATGGGTGGCTGGCTCAGGCTGCTCAGAGGGGAAGCCTCCCCACAGAAGAAAGGGCAGCCAGAGCTTCCAGTGACAGCAGAGCTGGGACTGATCCAGCCCCGCAACAGGCAACTCTCAGCCTCTCCCTCGGAGTGTCTGAGCATCTTGTGTGGGTACAGTCCAGTGTGAAGGCTGGGTAGGGAGGAAAGTGGCACAGACTCTGCCCTTGTAGGGGCACACAGTCCAGAGGTGGACAAACCTTTACGTGGAGACTTTCATGTGGTCTGTGGCCTTCACAGGAAGTGGGAAGTGCTCTGTGTTTAGGAGACCCTCACACAGTGCACAAGGTAAGAGAAGGCTTGGGAGAAGTGATGCCTAACCTGGGGAAGAGTGATGAAATAGCTACTGACAGAAGACTATAGAAGCTGCTGTGTGTGTTTGGTTGAAGGCTTCAACTTGACTATAAAGGAATGCTATAGTCATTTGAGTGTTTTCCCTAACTGTAGCTCCAGGGAAAGGACCACAAGGAATTGGAGAGGACACAGGCAGCCAGATGGATAAGAGATAGGGCCTTGGAAGAATAGTAAGGTGGGATGGGAGATGCTAGGGGCTGCTCATAGGTACAGGTAGGAAGGATGAGGTTGAGTTGGGGCTGGAGCTGGCCTGAGGGCCTATCCACAGGCTGATGTGGGGGCCATGATGGAGAGTGTGGTGGTGGTGCTAGGAGGTGTTGAGTCTTCTAAGAGACCAGGCGGGACCTGAGCCCAGGTTGGACTCCACACCTGTGATCTTTCTGTGGCATCCCAGGAGGCCTGATGTCCAGTATAGGCCTGGGAGTCTCCTCTTTCCTTAGGCTGTACTGAAGCCATCGGATCTTGCAGGAGCTCAGACAACACTTGCCCAACCTTCTCCCTGCCCCATCCCACTCCTTACCTTATCGACCTCTTGAGTCACAGACACTGTGTCCAGGCTGCAGTTGAGGTACTTAATCCTCTGGCTCAGTTTTTCTTTCCAAGTTCTGATACAGCCCATGAGGTCATCTGTTGTCACAACCTAGTGGGAACATGGAGGAAGATAGCCCCAAAGAAGTAACCTGTGGAGGACAGAAAGGATCCACTGGAATTTTAGAACAGGGCCTGGTCTGGCAAGGATGTTTCTTGGATGCAGGAGAGCCTCAAGGGAGTAGGAAATGCGGGCTTGGCTTTCTCAGGCAGCTGTATTAGGGCTATAGGTCCTTCACTGGCCAGGGCATAGAAAGTTTTGTTTTTGGTTCTATGTGTTCAACTCCACACAAGTGACATAAACTTGCTTGGCTTAGTCTCTTTATCTATAAGATAAGAATAAGGCATGTTTCCTAGGATCTCCTTCAGCTCCATTATTGTATGTTTACAAGGAAACATTTGGTGCAGGTGGCAAGGGTATGTAGGACAGTGTAGCAAGGTAGACTGCCCAATGCCATGGCAACACGTCCTTGGAGCAGCACCCCACAAGTACATAAGGACACACCCTTGGCCCACCATCACCCTCACCACATATCCAAGGCATTGTTACTGTTTCCTAACCACTGCCCTGCAGACTGTAAACCAGTCTCCCCCAGCAACACAGGAACAACCTTCACACCCAAGCTCACACTGTCTGCACTTGCCCAGGAGGCTGGGCAAGCCCCCTGGAATCCACCCAGCACATTGATGGAGAGGACAGGTGAGGTTTGGAAGGGGAGGGAATGTGGACACCTAACAGTTCTGTTCCAGAGAGCTTGCCCTAAAGAGCCTGTTGAAAGATCCTAGTGGGTTAGCCAGTTTTGCCTAGCCTGCAGCAGGTGCGCTCATGAAGGAGACCAGGTAAGTGGCTGGTAACCTACAGGAACTACTTTCCCTCTTCACAACCATGTGGGAATGCAATCAACTCAGCAGATGCGGGAAATGTTCAGGAATATGCACAACAGGTTTGGGAGTGTCTCTGTAGGAAATGAGAATAGAGAAACATTTCTTCTGCGCTCTATGCTTTGTGGATGCTGACATTTTTCTTGAGAATCAAGCATTACTATGTAAGAATCAGCAATAAAGAAAAAAAGTAAATGTCTCCTCAGTGCCAACAACAGTAAAATTGAAACCCTGTCTACTGAGATGGGTAAGAAAAGGTGGAACAGAGTGAGCAGGAAGCCTCCCTCGCTGGGCCCTCAGGCTGGGGCTCTGGTTCTGGAGACTGCAGGGTGGGTAGTGAAGGTGAGCCCAGGGCAATGTGGAACAGGAGGGACAGAGATGTGCACTTGTGGCAGGTGAACAAGCTGGTGGTAGCTTCTGAGAGACCTGCTTTGCCTATCAAGGAACTGGGGACATTTAGAACCACATTCCTGACAATTTCTTCTCCAATTTAGACTTTTCACAGCTTAGATGCAGAAAAGCAGTTTGTGTGCTGTGATGAAAGAAAGCAAGTGAAACATCAAACAGGAAGTGGCTGTTGGGAGGGAGGCCGAGCCTTGCTTTTGTCGTTCATCCAGGGCTGAGTTCACAGTCCAGAGGGGACACCCAGCGACGTCCAAGGGGAGGAGGCCTAGGAGCTGGCCAGAGACCCCCAGCTTCCTGGGCTCCAAGTGCTTCCCTGGGATTAAGGGGGTGCTGAGGGGGCTGCATGTTTTTTTCTTCTTTCCTTCATTCTGCTGAGTAAAACAGGGTATGACTAGCTAGGAGAGCTCAGGGTCACGCCGGCCTCCGTGAATGCTGGAGAAGTCCCGTGCCCTGTTCCCAAACGCGAGTTTAGTTCAGGTTTATGATCTAGCATGATGCATGTCAGCCACTCGCGTGTAGCATCTAGACAACACTCACCGTCTTATCGCCTCTTGGATCTCTACAAGCTTCAATCTTGCTTTGGAGCTCTTCCAGAGAAGAATTTAATCCCTCTGTCTGCAAGTTGGATTTTGCCACCTAGAAAATCAGAGGTCCTAA